CTGGTTGCGGTGCGGCCCGTGCCTGTGGGAGGCTTGGCCGGAGTGCGGGGGAGGGAGGGTACCTTTAAGGGTTTGTTGAAGAGGCAGCTGCCCCCGCCCTCCTGCAGGAACTGGCTGTACTCTTCCAGGCTGCACCGGGAGAACTTGCGAGGCAGGTAAAACCTGGCAAGAGGAACCAGCAAAGTCACAGGCCCCACCCCCAGTGCCCTGGACTGGGGCCTCGTGCAATGTGCCCCCCAGCCAGCCAGGGCCAAGCGCCCTCCCCACGCTGCACCCCGGGTTACTTCACACCTCGTCACACGGCAGGGCAGGGACAGAGCCGGAGCAGCCTCACCAATGCCCCCTCGCTGTCGAACGTACCAGTGTGTCTCCCGGCGTGGGGCAAAGCTGGGCCTTCCCCCCTTCCCTCGGCTGCCTGCCCTCCACGGGACCGTATCTACCCGCTGAGTCTGCGCCCTCACCACACACGGCAGCATGGTCCAGTGGATGGAGCACAGTGCTGTTAGCCAGGAACACTGGCTTCTCCTCCCAGCTCTGCCACTGACTAGCTGTGCCCTTGGTCAAGTCCCTTCCCCTTGCTGTGTGCTCAGGTTTCGCTCATTTTGCAGCACGGAGCCAATCTCTCCTCCCAAGCCAGCGTCGTTTGCGCCTGCGTGCAGTGGTGGTCGGGTGGCTCCGCCGGCAGAGGGGCATTTCAGTCCCCTAGCCCGTGCCAGATCGAACGGCACAGAGTAGCCCAGTGTGAGGGGACCACACTGTCAGGCCTTGGCTCACGCCTGGGCCTCAGCCCCTTCCTCTGAAGCTTCAGAGAAGCCAAGGGCTTTGCCTGCCTGGCTGGATGTCGCCTCCTGTGGGGTGGCGGAGGGCTGGGATATCGCAGTGGGACTCGGACCCATGGCTGTGCCACTGGCCGAGAGGCTGCAACCCGGGCCCATGGCTTGTGAAGTGGTGGGTTTGCCCCAGGCTGTGGCCCCCGGAGCGACGCTCGTCCCCACCCGCCACGCAGCCGCCTCTAGCGCTGCCCAGTGACCCGTAGGCTGGGCCGGCGCAGCCCCGGAAGCCCCTCGCTGAGAGGTTAAATCTCGGTTACTTCACTGGTCGAGTAACCGCATGAACTCGACTAGTCTATAGCCCCGGGCGCGGGGCCAGAGGTGTAAATGTGGGGTGCGGTTAGGGGTGTGAATGTGGGGCTGGTGCACTGGCAGAGAAGGACGCCATGTGTGGGGCTGGTTCGCAGGGTGGGGGCAGGGCTGTGAATGTGGGGCTGGCGCACTGGCAGGCAGAAGGGGCCAGGCTGGGCAGTGAGAAGCCCCTGGAACTGGCGCCAGTCACCCGCCTGGCTCGGGCTGCGCCAAGCACCCATCTGCCTCGGTTCCAGCTGAGCCCTGGCCCGGCCCAGCTGGCGTTGTCCCGGGACACCCCGGAAGGGAACTCACCCCGTGTCCTCCATGATGCATCCCAGCCAGGAGTCTGGACACCGGCAGTCCCCTGCAGAGAGACAGTAGGGAGCCTGGGCTGGCCTGGTAACTGCGCCCGGCCCCCCAGCCCGAACCTCAGGGGGCTGCGAAGCTCCGGGCCCAGCGGCAGCCCCACATGGGCTTCCTG